TAGGTGACTTCAATTCCGGGTTTCATAGCAGCGTCTCAGGTCGAGTAGGGGACCGAGTCTCCTCGTGCAAACATGGCCCCCCACCTGCCTTGCTAGAGTTGCTGCGGGACCATGACTTGTGGCTCCCTAGTACCTTCTCAGGTTTCCACAGGGGCCAGGATGAGACCTGGATGTCACCGGGTGGCACAAGTGGAGCACGCCTTGACTATTGTGCAGTACCCAGCACCTGGCGAGTACCTTATGGCGGCTCTTGGGTGGACACCACCCTAGACTGGGGGCAGGCCAGGGTTGATCACTATGGCATCGGCCTATTGACTTCACTCGCGGCTCTGCTTGCGAAGGCACATAAACCGCCGGTTGCCAGACTAGATAGGGAAGCCATGTGTACCGCGGCTGGCCAAGCCACCCTGCAGAGTATCTGTCAGGCCTTGCCTCTCCAACCATGGTCGTCCAACGTCCATCGTCACTATGCTCAGATAGAGGCTCATTTCCGACAAGAGCTTGCTCTTGCATCCCCTCTAAACGGGGCACGTGCCGATCTTCGCACTTCAGCACAGGAACGTGGGAGCTGCGACAGCGCCGGTCTTGGCTACGCAGGCAACTGGCCGGCGAAAGACGTCTGCTCCGGATGGCTGAAGCATGGGCAGCACTCCTTAGTCTTCGTCGTAGAGTCGCCCTCCCCGTCGGGCGCTTTCTGGCCCTCTTTCGGCTGCTCCCGTGCACCCGTCGGTTCCGAGGTTTGGTTGTCGACATGCAGGCTGCCAAGAGCCAGCTGAGACACATGATTCGCCAGGATGTCCTCTACCGGGTCAATGCTACAGCCGAATGTGCAGCTGCCCTCCCCACAGCGGATGTGGTGACGAGGCTCCGGCCACTTCTTGGGCCACCGAAACGCGCCGCTAACAGACAGCGGGCACTAAGGAGCGTTTGCCACCCCAATGGGGAACCGGTTCAGAGCGCCGAGGAGGCCGAGAATGTTTGGATTCAGCATTTCTCCGGCATTGAAGACGGCACTCGCATCTCGCCTTCTGCACTGGTGCAACACTGTGTGTCCTTCCAGCAAGCCAAGGACCTTGATGCCTACACCCTCCAGCCCTCTGACCTACCCACACGTGCCGAACTTGAGCAATCGTTGCGTAAGACGCAGACGGCTCGGGCAATAGGGATAGACGGCGTCCCAGGCGAGGTTTTACACTTCGCTGCAGGACAGTTCTCTTCAGCCTTCTTTCAACTCATGCTCAAAATTTCAATGAGGGCAGCAGAACCCATTCAATGGAAGGGAGGTAATCTCTTCGCGGTGTGGAAGGGTAAATCAAGCGCCTCTCAATGCAGCGCGCATCGTGGCATAC